GCAATGTATAGCCAATCGAAAACTGATCAATTTTTATTGAAAATATTTTTTTGTCAGATTATCGCAAGTACTTGAAAAATCGTGAAAAGTGTTACGTGGCACACTCTGTATATCGGGCCTGACGATGAGGCTTCACGTTTGACCGTTTCTTCAGGATGTATCGACGGGTTTCCAATTTCTTTCTTGTGACAGCCGATTTCGCTGTTGCGTCTGCAGGTTTAGCATTAGTTGATCTTTATCTTCAGCATTTTACTTACAAAACACAATTCGGTTCCTGTTTCATCAGACCTCGTAATAGAATATGATATTCGTCATTGGATTTGTAATGTTTTTCAGTTGCATGGGTTATAAACTCTTAACTAAAAAATATTCCTTTGATTTATTGCGTGCCGTGCAGTGTCGAGTATGCTCTTCATAGCGCGCAAGTTCCACGTTGCTCGCGCTGCGTCATCCTATGTTCAATGTTGTTATTCCACATACATATGCATACACGTACATATGTATATGTATATTCGCGACCGTCTAGGCTTAACGTATGATGCTAATACTCTATTAACTTGGGCATCGCGCGGAAACCGGAAGTAGTCCTTCACTACGGATTACGGAGCAATCAGGACGCGCTAGGTGCAACGAGGCGAGGCGGTGAAAAATAGGAACGAGCGACGCGAGTCGGGTGTGGGTGTCGTGTAATAAAGTTGTCTTGACATTCGGTGATATCGATCGACACATCGCGCGGCGGTACGCGTCACAGATGCGGGGTTCGTTTAATTTACAATTTCGCACAAAAGACTCGGGCGCATCAGGTAGTGTTGAAATTTTAAAGCTCCCTCAGCGCGGTCTCGCCTGCCGCTGCGATGAATACCAATTTACAAACATAAAGGTCACCCTTTACCGCGAGCTTTTCCAACTTTCCTTGATGTTATTTATTATTCTGCGGTTATGGAGTACCCATCTATATACAGTCAGATTTTTGCGTTAATGAACGTCGAGCCGAGACTCTCGGTTCATTCTTTTATCTCTTTTTTTGGTACCGTTGAGTGGGAATATTAGTGTTAATAATTTTTAATCGATACTGCTTCGTAATATTTTTCCTGTTCACATAGAATAATGGGTAAAATTGTTGAAAATGGGCTTTACCTTCGATTTTGATGATTTTTTTATATGTTATAAGAGGTGAATGAGCTGGGTAAAACGCACTTTGTTTTAGCTTGGGGATGGGCACGGTTCGTAAGTTATGAGTGAAAGAAAGTTACATATGTTAGTAACAAGTCTGTTGTACAATATAGATCTTATTTTGGAGACGGATATGAAACGTTCCCGTTTCTCGCTTGTAATCCTTGGGTTTGTCTTCTATCGCGAAGTGCCCTCTGGGTACACGTACCATATTTAAGTTTTTTTAGTTCGTTTTAATTAATTCTCAAGACTTCTGTACGATCACGTAGATTTCAAGTAAAATGCGTTTGTATGAACTTTTGTCAATCGCTAATGATAAAATAAGTTATTAGACTTTTCAATACATAAAAAAGTAATATTTGTGACCATATTGACTGTCCTATATGAGGTGAGGTAATAGTCTAATCTATTTCGATTCTCGAGGAATTATCTTGAAAACAATTAAAAGCTTATGTAGAAGATCATCTCTCTTTAATTATCTGTCGTTATGTAAATAATGAGTTTTAATAAAAACTGGCGATTTAAATTTAACGGCGACACGAATACGAATTGTAGTATATTTGCGAAAATAGGATAACACTGGGCCTTTGTGTGTTCCCTCTAACAGTGGAAACCTATTGTGTCTAACTTTGGGTATAACGTTTTGTACGCCCTAATGCACTAGTTACATATTCATAAACCATCTCACTCACGTGTGACTATTTTACGTCTAAGTCTGGTACACATAAGTGAAGAATATTTCATAGTGTAAAATCGATAGCACGTTCCAGAAATTACTAACAATATACATAGGAATAAATCTAGTCTATTATAACAAATTAGGTATTTGAAAAATGAAATTATATTATTTATTAGACTCATTTCTTTAATAAAACAGATTTATTCTTATATTTTATTGTTCATTACAATTTTTATATTCTTTATATTTATTTAGTTATACTCAACATAGATTTTC